TTCTGGGAGGCAAGGGTGGCCCACCTCCCAGTGCACCCGTTTCACAGATGAGCTGTACTGTGGCCTAGACACCAGCATGACAGGGAGGTCACATGGCCAGGTGGAACATGGGGTGCCATTGCCTTCTATGGAGTCTGGGAGCACAAAGGCTAGATTTGCCACTTCAGCCATACCCCTGTCACCCCCTACCCCCAGATGGCTGGCCTATGTGCTCCTGCTGCTCCTGCAGCTCCTGGTCTGTCTCTTCACCCTCCTGGGCCTGGCAAAGCAGAGCAAGTGGCTGGTGATCATGTAAGTCTGGGCACCTTCTGCAGGCTCATGTCAGCCCGGGGGGACGGCGTTCCATCCCACAGCACTCCTGCAAGAGGAACCATGGGCCGCCCCAGGCTCACTCTGGTCTGTTCCTTTGTCCTTCGAGTTCCCAGGCTGGTCAGGGCCCACAGAAGGAAACCAGACCTGGAGCCGCCTGCCTGGGAGAGATGGGCAGACCTGCAAACAGGCCACCTCGCAGTGGGAGGTGCTGGAAATCCTGGTAGGGACCAGGAGTGACACTTGCGCTGAGGATAAGGTGGTTGTGGCATCTACGGAGGGCCATGTACACTGACTCCTTCAGTTGTCACAACAACCACGTGAAGGAGGTACCCTTCGGGCACCCATCGTTGGGCAGATGAGGAACCTGAGGCAGGAGGTGACCACATCCAAGGCTCCATGACTTGGCATGACGGGATGGCAGGGCCATGTTCTGAGCTGACAGCTTACTATGTGTGCCGCACGCTCTTCTGGTACCGTCACACCAGCTTCTCGGGAGGTCCTTTCCTTCTCCCTGCTTAGCAGAGGGGAGTCTGGCACTAAGAATTCAGGCCATTTGTCCAGGGCCACCCAGCCAGGAAGTGCTGGAGCTAGGATTCAACCCTGGCAGCCTGTCCCATTTGGAGAAGCCCTTGTTTCCGCCCTGCTCCTGGGACTAGGGAGGGGTCTGTGCTGGTGCCCACCACTGTCTCCATATTGGCCCGGGGAGAGAGGCCCTGCCATCCCACCCAGGCCCCTCTGAGGCTTGGACCTGATAAAACACAGCCCAGGCTGGTCAGGTCTGGGACTTGAGGCCAGGCTTGGGTTTGGGCCCCCAGGTGCCCTTCTTGCTTGTTGCTGCCCCCTAAACCCATCCCCAGAGAGAACCCTGGAGGCAATTTCAGCCCTGGAACTGCAGCCAGTCCTGGGAGGAGCAGTCTGAGCAAGCTGGCAGCTGACTCAGCTAGGGGAGAACCTGGGGGTGTGCTTGGGAATAGCGGGGTCCAGTGGAATTCAAAGCCAAGAAGTGGGACCCAGCGATGGGTAGTGGTCCCCCAGAGTCCCAGAAAAAGATGGGGGCAGAGCTGGACTGGGATCCTGCCAGCCAAAGACCCTTCTCACTCCTCCAGCCCCCTGGGCAGGGGCCAGATGTCCAGTTTGGTCTCACCAACCACAGGTCTACCTCCAACTCTCTGTCCCTAATTCTAATCTTCCAGACTCCAGAAGCTGGGAGTAAGGCTGCAGTGGGATCTGGGGTGGGGGAGGGAAAGA